GGGGGGGGGGAGGAAAGAAAGCGCGAGTAATGGGGAGGGGGATGCTCCCGCTGCGCCCTCCCCTAGATACGCCACTGCCTACTATATCAGATTTTCGTTAGTAATTCTAAATCAAGATGCTTCTATTCACATCTGATAAAATAAATTATCAATTTGTTCTGCAGTATTTTGTTTAACAATAAGATTCGATTCCAATTGTGTAAATCTTTCAAATATGTTAATTGTGAAAATGTTTATTACTTTCAAATGAGAGTGATAGCTTTATGAATTTTAAAAACCATTTTAATGTATTTTTGTGTGCTCTCCCAAGGAAGGTTAATAGGCCTACATTTTGAATTGAATTGAAAATGAATTAAACACATTCAACCTTCAGACAGTCAGACTTTATTTACACATTCACAATTATTGCGTCACTGCACCTACAAAACCATTCTTTCGGATTCAGTTTACACATATATGCAACTTATTCAGTGTCATTATTAGCTTCAAACGGAGACGGAATGCAAACGGGTTAATTGGAAAAAACAATATTACAGAAACCGTTTATCCACATTTACATCATGAATGTTATGGTAAAATGTCTTTAGGATCGAAAACAAGGAAACGTACCTTGGTTTCCATAAAAATCCAAAAGACAAGCCTAATGAATATTCTAAGCTGTATGAATGTTTGATTTACGAATTAATAACCTACATTGATAATTTTTGAAAATGCATAATTACAAACCATGTGGATTTATATGATATACATATATACATATATATATAAATATACATATATACATATACACATATACACCACACACACACACACACACACATTGGCACGCATAAACAATACAATTGCAGTGGAATAACAGTGGCATAAACATTACAATTAATTCTTCATATTTTTATATTAATTATTAATTAGTTTTGTGTAAAACCAAAATGGTAGATCGATTGGACATACTAGTGTATCATTCAGAAATACAATACAAAATAAACAATGCAATTTCTAGCATTACTATATTGAGCACATATGTAGAGCCGCCTCCTGTATATATTTGACATGACAATAATAGAATATCATTACGTGAATAAAGTCTTTAAATTATTATTCAGTCTTCAGGTTCTTGCTCCGAAGTCCACAGTGTAATGTTGTCTCGAAGTAGTTGCATGATTAAAGTTGAATCTTTATAACTATCTTCTTTCAAGCTGTCCAGCTCGGTTATTGCTTCATCAAATGCTTTTCTTGCGACTTCACAAGCTGTTTCTGGTTTATCCTCAATCTCGTAATGATAGACCGAAAAGTTTAACGCAAGACCAAGCCTTATGGGATTGGTAGGCGGTAAACTATTTGAAGCCTCAGTTGCGCTATTGTACGCGTCTTTAGCATTGGAAATTAACATTTCTTTTATGTCAGTTTCCGTAGCCACTTCTACGCGATAACGGTAATAGTCGCCCTTCATCTTGTAGAAAAATGTTTCTTGTTCCTTGCTCGTATCAGAACCGGAATCACAATGGCCTAGGCATTTGTCAATAAGGCCAATAACTTCATCACAGATATTATTCAGTTCATTTTTAATTTTGGATTTGAATTCTGCTACAGCTTTTTTCTGAATTTCTGATGAGGTACTCTTCTGCTCAATAGAATTCGCAATATTCCATGCCGAACGCTTAGCCCCACACACATTTTTGTAAGCCACCGACAGTAGATTGCGTTCCTCAGACGTAAGTGGTTCTCCAGCATCAACAATAGATTTCATCGCATCTTTCATGTCATCATATCGCTCAACTTGCTCAGCTAACTTGGCTCTTTCTAAATTCAGTGCCTTTTCTGTAAGACATAAATGTACAACTATAAATTCTCAATGGCCGCAGGACTTGTTGGGTCATTTTTCATTTACAGCAACCACCTACGTTATCAACATTTAATAAAATCCACCCAAACTAAAAGAATAATGGAGGGCCTTACTAAGATTAAATTAAGAGTATTATATTGTTATAAAATAAATGCAGGCCTATTCATATTATTATGAGTTAAATTTCACTAATTTTTTTTTTCATTTTTTTCATTACGAATTGTGGAATTGCAATAAGTTTGTTGACCACTTAAACAGTCTAAACATATATTAGGTGAATTAAATAAAAATAATCACATAGAGTGTTCCTTACGAGATTTCTTTTTGGTGTATTTTAACATACGGTACTTGAGCAACCTCTTCCGTCCGTATATTTCTGATGGATTTTTTTTGTTCAAATAACTATAAACCATTGGTTAACCCATAGCCTCATGTTATTGTCATCCAGGTCTACAAGCGTATATAATGCATCAAAATCGAATCACATCGCTTTAGTTTGGTTGAACTAACATTACAAAATCATAGTCTTATGCCTACATCCATCACATTATTAATTAGGCTTATACTATAAGATTATCTAACCTTCCATTTTGCCTTTAATCGTAAACAGCACCGAAAGAGATTGATTTTGTAGTTGCTGAATGACGTCCCTCTTTGGTTTTGGTTTTAGTAATGGTCACGATTCTCTTTCAGCATTCACTACGGTTTGTTATTGCATAGCCGGGAATCTCTGGAGATTACTGTAGGTAAATTGGTTGATGTTATGTAATAGTGCATGACAGAAACCAGCTGTAATCTGTACACATTTTCAATTGAACAACCTCTTCACTTACTGTAGCCTGATACAACAGTCCTGCATACCGTATTTATTCGAATAAACGTCCCGGGGTCTTTATTGTTGAAACTCGTTATTAAGGGGGGAAGTCTATTCGAGGGAGGCGTTTATTTTGTTGGTGTAAAAGGAATACGTAGGTCTATACATATTAAAATAAACGCCCCTTAATTTCACAACACATAATGGCAGTACCCTCAAAATATGTTACTGCGTGATCATAAAGAATTATTGATCACAACCAGATTATAAAAAAAAAATGCAATGCTACTGGAGAATGATGTTGCTTAC